CGGCCACCACGGCCCCCATGTCCAGCGCTTTGACCTTCTCGGCAGAGGTGTTGAACCTGCGCATCTGCTGCAGCGACGGTTGGCTCCCCGATCGCTGGCACTCTGTGTGCTCAGTCGTGCCTGCAGCTCCAGCGCAAACGGATCTACCAAGTTGACTACTTATGATTTGGCAGAACTCTACCAGAACCGAACACTTCTGCAAGGCACCTGCCCTCAGCTGCGTCAGGCCGACGCCAGTCAAGCCACTGTCGTTCAAGTCAGCGGTGTCATCCCGCAGGTCGCCCGTCCAGACCTTGATGTTCTGGATCTTGCCGTCGGGGTTCACCTCGAAAACCAGGATTCCCATGCGTGGGTGGGGCATGCCGTGCTTGACCTCGATCATGAAGGCTCCTCCGTCCACAGACAGGAACTCTCGAGCCGCGGCGGCATGCTCATAGCCCTGGAAGAAGTTCATCACCTCAGCCTTTCCCTGATGTACTATCGGATCCCCCAAGGTGTTCTGCGCCACCAGGGTCAGGCGTGCGTCGGAGGCCAGAAGAGCTTCTTTGGGATCGGGCTCGTTCAGGCTCTGCATCCACGCCTCCATGGTCGTTTTGGTCACACTGACGTCGGTCTGCCCTGCCTGGCCCATCGCCTGAGACAACTGTAACGTTAGAATTTTTAGAATTCTGTCACAGCAGCGGTCAACGAGTCATGCCTCCATGAAGCCTGCAAAAAGTGGCCGAAGACCGTCTCGCAGTCCTGCTCGTACATTTTCGTGTACCTGGTCTGCCGTCCAAACACCGGAGCTCGCAAAAAGCAGCAAGAAACTTAGCTGAACATCATGCAGCAAGCCACCTGGCGATGCCTACCCAGAAAAGAAAAAGCGCATTTTCAGGGCGGGCGGCATGACGTGGGCCTGCCACGCATCAAGGACCATCTTGGAGGCCAACGGTGTCTTCCCCATGCCCATCAACACGAGGAACTTCCGGTATTCATCAGCGGCCCTCTTTGCCTTCTTGGCTTTGTAGTCCCCCTTCTCGATGAGGCGGGCGATGACTGCATCCAGGTCCAGGGCTGAGGCCTTTTGGGACAAAAGTTCGAACTTTGCCCTGCTCTCGCCCACCAGCGCTGCTCCTCAGAAGGGTGATTCTGGCAGAGAAAACTCTTAAAGCACGACACAAAAAGAAGGCTGAAGAAGCAGAGCTCCTGTCGGGTGGCATTCAGAGCCTTTTGGAGGCTCATACACTTGCATCTTCGACTCGGCCAGAAACTTCTGCATCTTCTCCAACTTCTTCCTTTTCTGAAGCTTCTTCTTCTCTAAGGGCTTCAATGTCTTTGCGGTATCCAGGCCAGGCGCCTCCGTCTCCTCGGGCAGCACGGCGTGAGATGAGCCCAGGCGTTGCTGGATAAGGCTCCCAGACTGGCACGCTTCAGCCTCCGTTCCGGCAACGGTTTCGGCAGAAACCACGAAAGCCGTCAAGAAAGCCACGAAGCATGCAGCTTTCATGGCCATGAATGTATCCGAGCTGGATACGCGGTAGGTGCTGGAAAGATGACAAGGCGAGATTACGCGAGATCTTGTTCGAGCCCGGATACGAGCACAAGTGACTCATCAGAGGACGGGGACTTCGCCATACTGGACATAATTGCGATTGACGAAATGACAGCAACAAGACACCGGCACTTTGTCCAAGCAACGCACGAGCACACACTGCTTGCGCAGCTTAGAGCTATGCTTGCACAGGGCGATCTGGCTGTCCGTCTTCAGCGTTCAGACTCATGAAATGCAAGCCTCGACAAGGTCTTTGACACGCAGTCGACGCTTGGGCACCCGATACATGGCTGGAAGAGATCAAGGCCCCCAGCGGCATGCCAAGGAAGGTGGAAGCTGCTGCTTGGAGCACCTTAAATGCCCACAGCAAGTCCAGAGAACTTCTAGCAAAACCAAAACCAAGCCCAATACGTCAAGATGAAAAGAAGTCTTCTGGAACAGCAGGTGTCGAGCCTGGTTTGAATCAGGGAGCACTGAGCCCACACTACAAAATTGTGCCCCTGAGTTCCGGACATGTGGACAAGTTCAGCCAGGAGATCAAAGACACCATGATTGGAGTGGTCCGAGGAAACCTCTTGAAAGAAACATCCAGCAACAATCCGCGCAGCTCTTTTTGAACTCTCCGTTTCGGAGCATGCCGAAGTATCTGTTTGCAGCAGGACTTTTGGGAAAGTAAAATTTCTACTGCATCCCAAATTACCAACACAGCTGCAAGTAGCCCTGATACCGCCGAAGACTAATGGAGGACTGACACTCACTCCATACAGCAGCCCATAGGAGCAAGTACATTTGACTTGATGCTGCCATGCTGGTTTGGCTAGCAGCTGCCGGCCCACGTGTGCGGAAGTTATGGCTACTGTAAATAACATTCACCATAAGCAACCCTTGAAATCACGATGTCACGAAGCCCCATCAAAAAAATTGAGGCTTGTCCTTTCGCTTCACGCTCTTTGTGGTTGTCCTTCGCTTTAGAGGACTTTGCTAGATCACTCAAACATAATTTACAGCATTGTGGTATGTGGTCTCTCGCCCACATGCTTCTGCGATAAAACCCACACCACGAAAAACGGGCACACCATCTCAAACGTTCTGCTCAGCACCGATGACTACTTGGCATAACTAAGCAGCACACAGACAGAAACAGCTCATCGGCATCGTCCTCGGTAGCTAAAGATGCTCCAATGCCACTGAAGCTGCTGGTTCAAGAAAATATTGTCTCAGGATTCTAGCTACACTGCATATGTAAGGGCATGACCAACGTGATGAACGCAGGTTGGAGCAGCTGGGCAGACTCGAAAAGCCTAAAACTACGGTGAGCAAAATGTGCACCGGCAACCTGGGCTAGAAGCAGAAATGAGCACGACCGAAGCCTTCGTACAGCCATCTGCGTGTCACCGATGCCAGCATGGATTAGCTGCGGTATCAACATAGGCAGCACCTCATCTGCTCATCAGCACCTGATGGAACTGAGTTACCGCGGACCATGGGCACTGAGGCTCCAGCTTGAAAGGGTAGATGCCTCCAAGAATGCAGTTTATAGCTCAATGTCTGCAATCTATCCAATATGTAAACACAGATGTACTAGCCGTATGATTACGGCGTCCTCAAGCTCTCCAAGATGGACGTCTTGCCGCAGCCTGGTGCACCTTTGACAGTGGCCGGCCAACAGCGACGGCTAAGGGCTCAAGAGGATTGGCCCAGGTCGCGGCCCACAAGCCCCACACAAGAAGGAGGTGGACCTGAAAGGCTTTCGGGTGCATGGACATATTATGCTAGTTTCCCAAAATAGGGGTACCCCAATATTGACCCTAGAATACTACATTCCTTATCATGGGGACCCCCAGCAAGGTTAACGGCTTGGGCAGTTTTGGGCTTGGGGTCTGGGAAGAGCAGGCAGAGCAAGCTGTGGACTGGATCTTGCCCAGGGTTTAGGGTTTAGGGTTATATAGGGATATTCTTGGGATAATGGAAAAGAAAATGGAAACTACTATAATGGGGTTGCATAGGGTTTAGGGTTTAGTGATCTGGCGTCTAAGCCTCCGACGTGCCGTGGTGCTTCTGCAAGCTTGGATGGCCGCCGCTAGCCAGTCCTGACCATGAGAAAATTTGACGGAAAGGTTTATGCGACTGTTTACGTTCAAGATAACCCAATATACTATATGATAGTTTCCATTTTCTTTTCCATTATCCCTATAACCCCCTATATAACCCCATTATATACCCTATATATAACCCATTAGACAATCTTCTGGGCATGCCTTCACCTCAGAGGGCAACGCACTTCCGGGCCGCAAAGCCTCCAGAAGGTGGTAGTTTCATGCCGCTCTTTTGACCGCAGCAGATTTCGCAGCCGAATGCTGGGCCCAAGACGTGAAGGGACAACATGAATGCTGACATCATCTGCTCGAGATTTGGCACAGAGTCAGAAGCTTCCTGCTCAGGCCTCTGCAGTCGCACTGACTGATGCTGTTGCCACCACAAAATCTGGCATGAAGCGAGCCACGTCGGTGACCTTGAGCTGCTGTCGGCCTGAAAGCATCCAACCAGGTCAAAAACACAAAGCTGCCGATTCAATTTCGCCTTCCTCCCTCGGCTCCGAAATCAACAAGGGCGAAAGTTAGAAATTTGAGACTTTTCATGTCGGCATCTGAAAACACCCATACACTCGCCCATGCCTACGTTAGCTTAAAGACCTCAGCTCCATTTCGGCAGCTGAGGGTCCTGCAAAACCCAGCTCCTGCTCAAGCTGAACCACGTCACTGAATACCTGCTCCGCAGGCACTGCTACCATCTGCTACCCTCAGGCTGCCCAAAGAGCTGCATTGATTCGCCTGCTTGCCTGAAAATCTCCTTTACAGCTAAGGTGGGCTCTTCTGCCGCCTGTCACGCTATCTGTGGACTGCGCAGAAGCTCAGGAGCTTGCCTTGTGCCATGTGCGGGGGGGCATGGTGGCCAGAAGCGACAAGAAAACAACTTTGCGCCCTGTACAGGCCACTGCAGCTACAAGGGCCACTAGGCTTCAACTCCCAGCGCCTTGTGAATTTGAAGTTGAATGAGTCCACTGACCTTAAGGCGTCGCATGTCACAGCCAAGCCGATCGCAGCTGCCGGCTCTGAAGCAATAGCACCATCAGCAAGATGCCAACACTTTTCGGAGGCCTTCCGCTTTGCGCACAGGCTTCTTCGCAGGTCTGGAATTTCCACTACGAGCATCTGCCCGTCGACGCATTAACAAGTCTGCCTGCCAGCAAGATGTTTCAAGCAATCCTTGGTGCTGCAACGGCATCGCCCACGCTTTCATGCATCCATGAACATCCTGTAATCAGCCCATACCATCACCATCCCCCTGCCCCCTTCCTGCGTGCTCGTTTGCCTTGTCGGCAAGCCAGTTGCTTCATCCCCAGCAACAATGCCGACAGTACCATACAACGCTAGCATCTTGGCACGTGAACAGTCCTCACATCTAAGCAGTTACCTTCCGCTGTGAAATCCTCATGCGTTTCCTTTTCCGATGAGGATGTCCAGAGCAGGTTGCGATTAGCCCATTGGAAGCGACCTCCTTCTTGCATTGAAGCATGACAAGAACACTGACAGAAACTACAGCAAGAGTTGGTCCCAAGTAAGGCTCAGGAGGCTCTAGCCAAGTGAATGCAAGTGGTCATGCTGTACCACTGAGGCCAATGCCTGCAGGCCTGCCACAATTTCTGCAACCCTCTCTGACCCATGAAAGGTGCATCATCTAGAGTAGAGTTTAGATTGCTCGCAACTTAGAGACAACGCATGACAAATGCATTTGCCCAGGCCTTGGCAGTGTCCCCAGAAGAACCCGGTGGCGCTGCTGGAGCACCCAGGGCTCGGGGACGACTTGCCCCGCAGGCTTCGCAGACGCTCGCTGCGATTGCGTTGTCCAAGGTGCATCCTAAGAAGGGCACTGCCGCAGGTCGACTGTCGCAGTTCTTGCCACAGCATGACTACAGGAACCACAGGACTGAGCGAGCTGTGGCAACTATGCCTCTGGCGACTGCATCTCCAGGTGGCAGCTGCCGAGGGCGGGCTGCGGGAAGGCGACCTGAGCAAGCCGCCCGACTTTCCAGGATGCCATCCACCCTTGCAACTCGCATTTGGCCAAGAGACGGAGCTCCGCAAGCTGCACACTCTGTGGCACCTTGACGAAATCATTCCGCAAATGGTCAGAGCAAAGCTGTCTCTTGCAAGCTGCTGCGCCAAGCTCGACAAAAAAGTCAGAATGCTTCAGGATCCTTGTATACCTCGTATATACCCTACATGTACCCTTGAGGATCCCTAGAATCCCCCTAAACGGCCTAAGGGCCCATAATGGGGTCCCATACTTCTTTCCTTAGACTCAAGCGCAAGCAGGCGTCTCCGAACGTTCATCAGGGTGCAAAGGCCGCACTGCCAACCAGAAGAAGGAGCAGGCCCGGGCTTCGATGCCACCGCGGCAGTAGAACATGCATGTTCCTTTAGGGACTTAGATAGGGACTTGTAAACAGACTTAGATAGGGAGTATGCAAGGAATATTTAAGGAACAGAATTTAAGGGAATATATAGGGATAATGGAAGACAATATGGAAACTACAGTATTATAATAAGGTATATTATTCCTCGCCGGCGCTTCTGGTTTCATGGGGTGGTAAACCTTCCAAAATGCTATTACTAGTGTCCTCCTCAAAGCGGTGCTTCAGACAAACCTTCTGCTTGCAGCGCCCACACACTACCTGGGCAGTGGATGTTAAGACTTGCATGTCGTTGTGCGACTGTGCTCTGCTGCATCTACTATAACCCCAACATATACCCTAGTATAATCTAGTAGTTTCCATTTTCTTTTCCATTATCCCTACATCTATATACCCTATATATTATATATCCTCTAGGTAGATTTGTAGGGGGGCCAACATCCAAGCAACACTGTTGCTGGCCGTGAGGACTTCTTTGCACCCGGCA